AGGGACAGTTTCCACAGGGTACTCCTCTGGCTGCCCCACACACAGAGAGGGGCAGGCAGGTCCCCCTTAAGCTGGCTTTGGTGGGTCTCATGGAGAAGCGAGCAGAAAGCAACAAAGGAAATGGAGGGAAAGGAGAGAGTGGAGGAAGGGGATGGGAGGCAATGGCCATGTTTTCAGAGAGCCCAAGGTGGCCCCTTCCAAAGGGCTGACACTGTTTTCAGGAGGAGTGGGGCATGCTCAGCCCCTCTCAAAGCAGCGGCCATGACCTCCATCATTCAGTCTGGCATCATCTTCTGGGTTCCTGGTGCTGCTTTTCTCTGCTGTCACCAGTGGTTTTAGCAAGGGGGACATTTTCTGCTGCCACAGTAGCAGCTGGTAATGCAGGAGAGGTCAAAGCCCCAGGAGGAGATGGGCACTCCATCACAGCTGAGGATGCTGCCAACAGCCGCAGAGGTGGAGGATCCCACAGCAGTGTTCTGCAGGAAGGAGCTGAGGATGGGTCCGGGCAGTGTCACCACCACGGCCAAGGGCTTACTGCAGCTGTTGGCCAGTGGGGTTGGGCCGCAGGGCCGGTGTGGGAGGCACTGGTTATAGCAGGAGATGTTTCTGGGCAGGTGGTGCACCTGGGAGAGAGGGCAGGGAGGAAGCATTGCACAGGGACACCTCAGGAACAGCCTGCAATCCCACCAAAAGGAAGCTAAGGAACCTGCTGGGTGGGGAGGTGGAGGCTGTGCAGGAGGGAATAGGGGCTTCCTTGCCTGAGCTCGGTGGGTTCTTTTGGATAGCAGCCCTTCTCAGGGATCCTCCTGGCTAGCCTATAGCAAAGAACCACCTCAGACCAGCCTCAGCCTCTCTCCATGACAGACTGTCTCTCCTCTGCCCTCTCCCACGACTACGATCTCAGAGCACTAACGTAAGACCAAGGAGTAGGTGTCAGCTGAGTGGTCCTTGAAGGTGAGACCCCATCCTACAGGAGGTGATGGAGGGGAAAGGGGGTTCTAACTCACCTGGTTCTCAAGAAGAAGAAGGTGACAGAAGTGGTTGAGAGAGTAGCAAGTTGGACTGACTTCTATATTGCCTTCACACTGCCTCAGGCACAAAGGCAGCTGCTGAATAAACAACAATTTTCCTGCACGCTCCTAAGAAATGGAAACTTCCCAGGTAATGACATGGCATGTGTGGCTATTTCCCCTCACACTTCCCTTGCGTTTCCTCATTTATGTCGTGCCCAATCTGTCAGGGATGCTTCTTTTGAGTGCTGGGATGAGAGGCCCCAGGATTTCTGGGGCAAGGATGCACCAGTGTGGGCAGAAAACATGGACAGAGTGCCAGAGGGGTCCAGTGGCGGCAGGTGATGCCAGCCTGGGGCACTCTAGTTTGGATTTCTTTTAATATCCTGCTGACAGGAGGGACTCCAGCTGCTCCTAGCCTCCCAATTTACTTGGTCTGCTGACACCTGACATTGTTTTCATGTAAGAACCAGTGGGCATAAAAGGAGCACTAAGACTCCACGCACATTGTTCGAGGTCTGCAGGTTCCTTTTGATGTGTTGTTCTTACATAAGATGTTGAGAGGAAGAAAGAAAAAGAAACCATATGTATCTTCTCTTCTAGAATTATTCAAGAAGAGAAAGTGAGGCTGGTTGGGGCTTTGAGCAACTCATCTACTGAAAGATGTTCCTGCCCGTGACAGAGGAATTGCACAAGATGGTCTTTATAGGTGCCTTCCAAACCAAGCCATTGTGTGATTCTATCGTTCTGTGAAAATGAGGTCTACATATGTAGGAGTGGGCAAGGTCCTTGAAGCCACACAAAGAGAGCTAATTCAAGGCTAGGAGAAATTAAATGCTGAAGTACCAGGCATGGGCAGATAATGTGGCTTGAATTATGTGGAAAATATTTGGTAAGAAGCACAAGCAGAATGAGGAGCAAGAAAGTTTGTCTCCTCCTTCTGAATGAGAAACTGACTGTCACTACAGTGTTGTTGGGTGATACAGAAAAAACTGATCGACTCCAGCCCATGTGAGATACGGCTCCAAGCAGCATGAGCTGTCAGACTTGAGCACCAGGACTGACATGAGCCTGCCACATAAGATTGTACAGATACATGGATCAGCCTTTTCTAGATTGTCAGAAGTGAGATGCACAATGGGCAGAATGACCGAGTTGATGAAGTGATGGATAGCTACATACACAGTCAGGAACGAGTTTCTGGCTTCATAGGTCATGCACAGAAAGTCTCTGTGCTGCAGTTCCCACCAGAAACACCCACACAGGTGGGAGACAGCATAACGCTGCAATGCAATTTCTTCGCCAGCAGCTCTTATCCCAACATCTTCTGATGTGCTGTCAGTCCCTGAGGTACCAAACCCCTTATGATGCTGCTGCTGCTGCTGGGTAGCTCCAGACCTCGGGTGGATTCAGGGAGGTTCTTCTCTGAACTGTCTGTAGAGGACTCCCCGGGGCTCCTCTGTGTGCAGGGTGCCATGCTCCAAGATAACATTGGATCACTGGGCAGTCACCAATGGCACAAATTTTAACAAGTCTAAGCGCCGGATTCTGCAGCTGGGATGAAGTAACACCAGACACAAGTATAAATAGGGAGAGGAGTGGCTGGAGAGCAGCCCTGCAGAAAGGAATTTGGGGGTGCTGGCTGACAGCAGGCTCAAAACAAGACAACAGTGTGCCCTGGCAGCCAAGAGGGCAAGCCCTATCCAGGCGTGTGTCAAACACAGTTTAACAAGCTGGTCAAAAGAGGTGATTACACCGCTGTATTTAGCATTGGTGTGGCCTTGTCTTGAGTACTGTGTGCAGTTGAGAGTCCCACAATTTAAGAAGGATGTTAAGGTACTTGAGTGTGTCCAGAGGAGGGCAAAAAAGCTGGCAAAAGGGCTGAAAGGAATGACCTGTGAGGAGCAGCTGAGGACACAGGGTTTGTCTAGTTTGGAGAAAAAGCTGCTGAGGAGTGAAGCATGCTGAAGCATTTCTTTATTGAGAGGGTGGTCAAACACTGACACAGGCTTGCTAGAGGTGGACAATGCCCCAAGCCTGCCAGCGCCAAGAGGCTTTGGACTTAATATGATGCTTTAAATTTTGGTCAGCCCTGAAGTGGTCAGGCACTTTGACTAGATGGTCATTGTAGATTCCTTCCAGATGAAAATGCTTCGCCCTCTCCTATCCTAGCCTATCCTATCCTATCCTATTTTATCCTATCCTATCCCATCCCATCCCATCTTACCCTATTTTTCTGACATCTTGGATTATCTGCCTGCACATCTAAGTGCTTGTATGCTTGTGTGTACACACAACTTTGTGCCTCTGGTGAGATCATGGTTCCTGTACAGGTGTATTTTTTTGCATGCATGTGAGTGCTTTCACGCAGCCACACGTGTCTGAGTCCTTGTGCACATTTGATTGTCTCTGTATGTCTCTGTATCTATTTGTGCACCGTTGTGCGTGTTGGGTATGTGTTAGTGCAGGTGAGTATGTGTGTGTACGTAGTTGAGCCTGACCTCATTCCTAGTCCTAAGGCCCGTAGTGACACCCCTCCACAACAGTGCCAGGCACTGACATGGTCTCAGCCCCTTGTTGTTTGAGGGGACACAGACAGAGCCACCGCATTCCAGTCTCATTGAGGAGACCCCCAAACCCAGGTCAACTCTTTTCATGCTGCCTCCAAGCAGCCTCGAAGGACTGAGCTGTTTCCCACTGCCCTTGCTCGTGACTCAACTAAAAGCTTTGAAGTTACAGGATTCTGCTGGCTCTGTGGAGATGGGGGAGACCTCTCCTGTGACTGGCCCTTGTCCAGAGCCAGGAGCTATGGGGAAAGGAATGAGCACCTGGGGAGGCTGGGAGGAGGAAGGTGGTGAACATCAGGGCTGGAGCCAATGGCACCAGAAAACAGCCCCAACACTGGAAAGAGACGAGGATCCCCTCCAGCAGCAGCACTATAGGAATCCGGCTGTGGCATAAGCTCCTC